TTTTAATTAGAAAGGACTTGTGTCGCTAAAGTTTCGTGGGAACGAAGTTACGGAAAATCAACTAACGAACGGAGACGTAACAATATTTTTAATTCTAAATGTTGTCATAAATACTAGCCATAGTTTAATTTGTGAGTAATCTGTTTTGGTTATTTTTTGAATTTGATATTTGAGTTTAAAACTGTTTCCCAATGAAAGGAATGATAAGAAATAGTGAATATTTTGAGACAGTGTGTGGCTTTTTGGTAGGTTCTAATTTATTTGTTAAAAATTTTCATGTGATAGAATGTAAGAAATTAAGGGGATAACCATTACTTTGTAATATGTCATGAATTTTTTAAATTTCTGAGTGAAGGCAGAAGTAATCAGGATAGATATTATGGGCTGTGTTTAGAAGACTTAGAACAAGGTTATGTTTGAATGAGTCTTGTATAATACTGTCTAAATGAATGTATAAGCCAGTAAATGTTTCTTATGGTAAACAGATGTGACAAAGAGATTGTTTATTTGGTTTATTTTAACGTCTAAAAAAGCTATGTTATTGCTTTCTTCCATCTCACATGTATAAAGTTTATACATGGATGTTGTGAGTTTAGATATTCTAAAACCTTCTTGGTGTGATCAATGTTGTGAAAGAGTAGAAAAGTATCATCAACATATCCTCTGTATAATACTGGTTTGTAATAAAGGGGGCAGTTATCCAGCCATTGACGTTCTTAATAACATAGATGGCCAATTTAAGAAGCTGTTCAAATTTTTGTTTGTTAAAATTAGAGTGCAGAACATTTGTGGTAAGGAATAACAGCATGCTAGTTATTTTAATTGTTTCCTCAAGTGGGATGTTACTGAATAAGGACTGAATATCAAAGCTGTCCATAACGAATTGGTCTGCATTAGGAAACTTAGATATCTCTTGAGCAGAGGAGATAAAGTCTTTAACAGTAAATTCTTCTTAGTAAGTGAGCTTAATGCATGTACTACAAGATATTTAGCAAGTTTGTAGGCATGTGAAGCAAGAGTAGATAGAATAGGTCTGAAGGGTAAACCATTTTTTGTGTATTTTCAGTAAGCCATACATAAAACCAGGGCAGGAACCTGTAGGATAAAGTTCTGCAAAAGAGATGAGTTTACAATTTCTAAAATATCTTAAAGTCCATTAAAGCTTTTCCTCATAATTGAGAGTAAGCTTAAGCCAATCATTATTGAGGGGTTTATACTTTGTTCTGTCATTTAAAATGTTTTCCGTTTTGGAGACTAATCAGATCTGTTTAAAATGATGACACTTGTACCTTTATCTGGCTGGATAACAACATCGTTTTGGTTACTGGCAAGTTCTTTGAAGGCAGAAAACTCGATCTGTGTAATAGAAGAAAGGTTTTTTAAGAGATTGAAGTTATAGGAGGAGGACAATGCCATACTTTAAAATTTAGTTTTGATAAATCATTCTATATATGGTGCATTATTTTTTTTAAACTAGGAAAAGATATAAGAATACTGTTATGTATCTGTTAGTTTGATAATTTCCTTAATTTCCGGTATAAATTCTTTCCGAGGAACTTCAGTGATACAAGTCCTTTCTTAATTAAAACTAGTTTTTGTTTCTCGGTACAACTTTGTAATACACTTAACAACTTTTATAACATACGCTATAAATCACAGTGAAACAAGTCCTTTCTTAATTAAAACTAGTTTATTCTTTCTCGATACAACTTTGTAATACACGTAACAACTTTTGTAACACACGCTATAAGTCACAGTGATTCACACACTTTACTTATGGTGCCTACTGTTTGCTTGACTAATTATCTCTATCTTCAATCTATCTGCGTATCTCTTTGATCATGCTGGCAGACTTGTATACTAAAAAAGAGGGTGCCTCAAACAGACTAGAGTTGCCAGGAAAATTCCTGATCCTTCCAGAAACTCCAGCTCGCATGTTCCCAGCGTCACGTGACTTTCTCTGTCATAACAATACATTTAAATGGAAAAAAGTAACTTGAGAAACTTAGTTTACGGGTAGGTAAACAAAAATTTAAGCCTTTTGATAGAGCATTTTGACATTGTTCACTAACGGTAAGATCACTAAAATTGAAAATAACATTATCAGGACTTATGTTACTAGATTTTCTTGCTGGAATTAAGTTTCCTAAGCTTGACATTCTGGTTGTGTTCAAGTCTGGCGATGGTTTTCAGGTTCAGATTTTCAATCAGGTTGGTGAGATGATGAAAGTAAAAAAAAAAACTTGTTTTGACAGTTTCATACCAGACTCCTTCAAACATAACTTTGTTCTAAATCTTCTAAACAGAGCTTATAATACCTGTTCTAACTACTTCTGCCTTCACTCAGAAATTTAAAATTTTGTGACATATTACAAAGTAATGGTTATCCTCTAAATTTCTTACATTCTAAATAGAATAAATAAATTAGAACCTACAAAAAGCCACACACTGTCTCAAAATATCCACTATTTCTTATCATTCCTTTCATTGGGAAATAGTTTTAAACTCGAATATCAAATTCAAAAAATAATCAAAACATATTACTCACAAATTAATGGTTAGTATTTATGACAACATTTAGAATTAAAAAATATGTTTAAAACCAAAGACACACTACCCATTCTTGTGCACTTGTGGGTTGTATATAAATGGACTTGTGGTAGTTGTAGATCTATCTATATTGGTAAAACTACATGTCACCTACGAAATACTTGCACACGATCACATGGGAATTTCAGCAAGAAGCAGATGTAAGCTAAGTAATCCAACCAAGTCTTGTATCCGATTGCAAATGGAAAATAACAACCATCCCATACTTCTAGAAAACTTTAAAATTCTCAACTCTGGAACTATAGAATACGAACGATTTATTAAAGAAAGCCTCTCCTTTTTCAATGATCACCCAACACTAAATAATAACATCAACTCCTCCCTGTTGTCATTAATGTAATCAATTCCAGATTCTCAGTGTTTTATTTGATATTAATTACTATTTTAAAGATACAGTGTTTATACTTATATTTAAGTCTTTTTCTATAATAGTTTCTCTTAACAATGTTATTATTAAACACGTATGCCACACATTATATCGTACTTTCCATTATATTGTTACCATTTAAATCTAAACTTCCGATTGTATACAAAAACTCTCTCTCTATGCTAATGTTGTTTTTTTAGTTTGATTATTATGAACAAACCTTTTGAGATATTAACACTGATGATGGAATTTAAGGAAATTCCAAAATGTCTTTATTAAAGATGTTTTTTGGTACTACCATGTTTTTAATATTTATTATAAAACTTTGTTTTCAACCTGATGAATCGGCTATATTCAGTATGTGAATATTATCTGCAAGATAAAAATGAATCCATTTTACAAACAAACTTTCAATAGCCAATAAATTGTAGTAATAATTATAAGTGGTAACTGCTAATTAATTAATTGACCTCATTAATAGATTACATTAAGTTATTGATTTAGTATTTGTCCCTCCAACCTGCCTGTACAAACAAAGGTGGGGTTGCTAACTTCATAACTGTATCAACCACTGCACTCTTTATTCCAACATATTATTTTTCCTATATCAATTCACCTTGTTTTCATTGTTATTATTGTTAAAGGGCTTGTATGACTGAGTGAATAAGGAATATTGATTTGTGAGCTTAGATACAGGTTTGAAACATGCCAGTGCATTTTACAACCATAATATGTACACATAGTAGAAAAATTAGATTTATTTAGCACTAAATAAAACAATTATCCAAATTATAAGTTACAACAAGTAAAAATAATAATTTTACATTTTATACAACATTAAAGAATACAGTTATGCAATTATAAATTAGAAACATAACACAATGTAAACAAATAATCAGTAAATATACACTTTATTTAATACTAAAAGAGCACAGGAGTTGGCAGTGTGTGCTGCCAGATAGTTGCCTTCCTTCTTGTCAACAGTTCCTAATTAGGGACAGTGGCAAGTAGCTTTATTATACCTCAAAAATAAAGAAATAAATATAATGCCCTATGGCTGAAAGGGCAAGTATAATTGATGGCAACAGGAATTGAACCCAATACCTTCAATTCATGAGGCAATCCCTTTGTTTGAAACACTGGGCCATGCCAAGCCAAGACCGAACAAACTTGAACTCAAAAAAAAAAATACAATAATGAGAAAACATAATGGCAATATTTTAATTATTTGGATAATTGAAATAATTAAAAGCAGCAATAATCACAAATATTTTGGTTGCTTCATAACATTTGTAACATTCATTTATGTACTAGTAATTTTGATAATTTGATTATTTCATGTAATGCTAATCAATGTAATTGATGATCATAGGTGATCAATTATATCGACTAATCAAGTTAATTGCCCACCTCTAGTAGTACTTGTACAATATTTCTCCTAGTGTAGAATATTGACATATGTATGTTTATTTTTAATTTTTTGAATGGTATATAGATAAGGAAGAAGTGAATGAAAAAGAAATTGGTGATCTTTCTGCTGTTTTATTTAATGAAGAAATTCCTGTTAATGGAGAAGACATCAATGGACTTGTTAAGGAATATTCTTTAAATATAGAAAACATGAATGAAGCTGAAGAAGAGAAGACTATGTTTTGTAGTAACAATTGCAATGATAAAAATGAAGATAAACCTTGGAAACTTAAGGAAAACCAGAATTGCAAGAATATTGACAAGGATGAAAATACCTTTTGTGAAGATATGCTTTCTGAAGTAGAAGAAAATCAGGAGACAGATGAAGGAACAAGAGACTTGGAGGAACATTCTGTGTCTGAAACTGAAATGTATAAATGTGAATCTTGTGAAAAATTGTTCATTTCAGAGGATTGCTTATTAACCCATAAGAAACAACATAGTCTTTCAAGTTCTGATGAGCATCATTGTAACCATTGTACTTTTTCAACCAAAAGTTTTTCTGAGTTTTCAACTCACTCAGCCATTCACCAAGATTGCAAAGAAGATGAACGACCCTTCAAATGCCTGGAATGTGGGAAAAAGTTCAAAAAGGAAAGCCGTCTTCGTCAGCATAAAAAATCTCATGCCAATTTCCAACCAGTAAAATGCAGTCTTTGTGACAGTATGTTCAGAAAAAGCTCTGGTTTAGCTACCCACATGAGAGTTCATCTAAGAAAGATTCCTAAGTCACAGTCACGTGAAAATGTTAAACTTAACAGACAGGAAATAATTGTAAGAAAGATCAATAATGCAGGAGATAAGCGTTTTCACTGCTCTGTGTGTGATAAAGGATTTACTAGCACAAATAATCTTATGAAACATTACATAGCAAAACACGATCCTAACAATCCAAACATTCCTTCTACATCATTTGAAACACAAAAACAAGATGATGAAAAAGAAGAAGCTTTGTCTTCGGATGCATACTCTTGTGAAAAGTGTGGAAGGTTGTTTACATCCATGAAAATGTTAGAAGGACATAAAAGAATACATCGAAATGAAACAGAAAATCGTCGTTTTAGATGCCCACATTGTAAATATTCGACAAATAAGTCAACAGATCTGCGAAACCACATTGTAGTTCACACAAATGAAAGACCACATCAATGCAGCTATTGTGGAAAAGGATTCACAGAACAGAGCAGCTTACGTAAACATACTTTTACTCACACAGGAGAAAAACCTTATGCTTGTGATGTGTGTGGAAAAAAATTCACACAACGTGCACATTTACAAGTTCACATGAGGATCCACAACAAAGAGAAACCATACCGATGCCCATACTGTGAAAAAACATTTGCTTATCATAATGTCCTGACTCGTCACCAGAGATCTCATACAGGAGAGAGGCCATATAAATGTACCCTTTGTAGTAAAAGTTTTAAGAGCAACACTGCTCTTCAAGGCCATGAAATTGCTCAACACACCCATGAATATCCTTTCAAATGTACAGAATGTGGAAAAGGATTCTTACAGTTTGGAAGCATGCAGATTCATTTGAGAAATATTCATAATATAGCAATTTACAAGCTTAAAGAGGGTCATAATTGATTCTTGATAATTTCTTGTCTTTTTGTTCATATCCAACCCTATACAATATGCAGAGCTGTAAAATTTATTAATCGTACATTAGCCAGACATCTATGTTTACTAGCCAGGAAGTTTTCAAATGTAATGCTTCTGTACAGCCACAGAAAACAAATTTTAAAAGACTTGTTTTATGTTTCTTGCATATATTGTTTGTTATTGTAATTTCTCTTTTCTAAGTGTTCAGATATAACTGAAATAAAAACATGCTTTAAATGCATGTGTACTTTTTTCTGTTCATTATTTTGAGGTGACTTACTACATAGTTACTTTGCTGGTGGTCAGTAGTAGCCTGGATTACTGCTAAAGCCAATTTTGAAATCTAATAGAAAGTGGTGAGAAGAGGTAGCTGTTTTATTGTTGGGTAAGAATGTGGTTTTTAGTGTAGGCTTGGTAGTTTATTTCCTTATGTTTTGTATGAAGATTATTAAATGGCTGGCTGTGAAACTAAGTTTCAACTGAATAACAAGATGTTATAAGATTTTTTTGCCATCAATTTAAATCTTGTAGAGCATTGTTCTGCTAATCCAAGTTACAGGTGTACACACAGAATGGCATAAAGTTTGACCCACAATTTTTAAGTATCATTTTTAGAAAAATTACTTATCAGTGTGCAAATTTCTTTAATCGTGAGAAATAGGTGGATATTTTCAGCATTGTGTACAATAACTATATGTACAAATACTTTGTGACAAGGCAGGCTTAATGGAAACTGGATATTCTAAAATGACCATAGATATGCTTAAAGCAATAAATGTTTTGGTTGGACCTTTGGAATTGTTTTCATAGTAAATAGAAATTATATTAGGCACAACCACAAAATTTTCAAACTTATCAAATCATCAAACAAAGAACTCAGGAAAATATGAAAGATGTTTTTTTATTTCAAGTCTCTATCTGTCATATAAGCCAAGATATTGCAGGTGAAATTATGGATTTTCCCCCTAATCCACAATGATAACACCTTATCATAATCTGTGACTTTTTGTTCCTTGGAGTACATCTTTCTTACATACATAAATAAATATGACTTTCTTCATATTGGTAATAGTAGCATTACTCTTTCAGCAAAATGCTTCAATTCATTCTGTATAACACGAGCTTCTATCTGCTATAGATGCTGTTGGTCATTTTCAAAAACAAAATGCATAATTATTATAGCATTCTTAACTACAAGTCAATCAATGAATTGGTCTATACCCATATCTGCTTCGTTCAAAATAGTTTGTATTCACTATACTCTCATACCTACTTTTAAAAAAATTTTACCAGTACAAAACAGGTTTTTGCTAGTAAAAAAGTTATCAGCTACTCCATAGCCTGGACAACACAATACTGAATACACCAAAAAACTTTCTGTACAAATATTACATGGATAATGCAATATTGCAAGTTGTCTGAATTGAATTATTTTCTTATTCTTTTCTCCTGCTAGTGAACACACATATATCACCATAATATTATTCACCTCCATAATATCTGGCAAAACCAATCTAATTTTCATGCAAGTATATTGCAAAGCAAGTATCTGATACTATCAATGTATTTAATCAAAGATTAAATCTCCAAGTAGAATGTCAGTGAGTATTTCACCACATGTGAACTCAAAGGTGTCCTTGTTGTCAGATGCATACTTGATGGTGACTTGATTACCTGTGATATGCAAGATTTCTCCTGGATACACAGTCTCAGAGAAGTTTTCATTTACCCATGTTTGTTGAATCACTTTGTCATGTAGGTCACTTGGTGAGTTCACTAGTGCAACACAAAGATCTGTCTTGGTTTGCCCACAGTCTGGGCATAGTTCAATGATATCCTGGTCAGTTATGACTGACTTGGCTTGAATCAGGGTCTTTGCCTTTGACTGAAGTTTTCTCCTGGCTTTGTCATCCTTTTTTTTGGTGGTTCTCATGCAACTACTTCACTCACTTCTCTCACCTTTCTCTTTCTCGGCCTTTCCAGTTGCAAACTTGACCACTGTGTTATCTTTGGATTATAACCAACTCATTTGTTACCTTGTTTATCCATGATATTTTCATTACATTTCTGTACACCCACATCTCAAATGCTTGTAATCTGAACAGTTTGTGACTTTTGCTTTCTTTGGTATTCTGACAAATACTGAATCATTCATATCAGATGGAATGTATCCAGAATCATAAACAAGGTTACACAACTCTGTAATTTTCCTCAGTCCTGCATTGTCTAAGGCTTTCAACATTTTTGTAGTGATGTCATCATTTCCACTTGCTTTGCCCTTTTTCATAACTTCAATAACCTTTTCTACTTCTAGCTTCATTATGGCCCTTCCTTCCTGGTTGTCAATATTAGATGGATCTCCTCTCCCATCGTAATATTGTTCATTCATATACTCACCCATCTATTAATAATTTCTTCTGAATCAAACAGCATTTTTCCATTTGTATTACATACACAGTTGCTTCCATTTTTGTATCTTCTTAGGTTAGTCATCTTTCTCACCTTTTCATACAAATCTTTTGTTTTTTGCTCTCTGTTCAGAACTTCTATCTCTTCACATTTCTTATTCCACCAGGATTCCTTAGCTTCTTTACACTTGTTTCTGATTTCTTTATATATTTCTTTGTATCATTCTGTTCCTTTGTGACTTTTTCTGACTTACATCATGTGCAGTATTTCATCTGTTATCCATGATTTTTTCTTCATATTTTTCATCTTTGGGAGAACTTTCTTTGCAGACTTCACCATAACTTACTTGAGTGATATCCATTTTTGTTCAGTTATTTTGTTATCATTACTTTGTGTGACTTTTTCATTGTTGAGCACATCAAATTAGTTGCGTACTTCCACTGCATATCTTGTCTTGTATTCTTCTTATTTCAGCAGGTTCGTGTCTAATTGGTCACTTGCACCTCACTTTGCTGGCTTCTTCAATTTAATCTTCATCTTGACCATGACTGGATTTTGGTCAGAGCCCACATCAGCTCTCGAATAGACATGTGCTTGTTTCACACTGTTTCTAAATTTCTGATTTACTAGGATGAAATCTGTTTTATTCCTGTGTATATCTCCAAGGCTCTTCCGGGTGTACAGTCTGCATTTTGGGTGTTGAAACCATATGTTAGTAATCATCATGTTATGCTCTTCACAAAACTGCAATAATCGTCTTCCTCATCAAGGCCATATTTTCCCACAATGTCTAGATGTTCTTTATTCCCAACTTTAGCATTGAAGTCCCCCATAACGATCACAATTTCTCTACACTTTATGTCTTCCATAGCTTGATTCAGTTCATCATAGAATGTTTCCACTTTCTCATCACTGTGATCACTTGTTGATGCATATATTTATATGATGTTACTATCAAAAGGCTGACCTTTTAATTTTGACATAACTCATTGTGATACTGGTCAGTGTTCCATCAAATTTGCAGCTGTTGTTTTCTTCATCAGTATTTCTATGCCATTGATGTGTTTTACTCCTCCTGAGTAAATTAATATATGATCACCATGCTGTACCTTTCCACTCTCTCCACCTTATTTCACAAAGGCCTAGTACATCTTCATTCATGTGTTTCATTTCTTGTATCATATTATGAATTTTTCCATCTTGATACATAGTTTGTACATTCCATGTAGCTATTTGTAAGGTCTGGCCTCTGGTTCTCCACTTTACACCATCAAATGGCTGCTTTCCTAATGGTTTTGAGTAGCCATCATCATTATTATGAGTTGTACTTTCCGCAATATCAGACTCTTCTTCTCTGTCACATTGAGTGAGAGGTTTGGTCACAGGGGCCCCAATTTCACCTCTATTTCCATCACCATGACTATCTATGGACTCATACTTGATAAGGCCCCAATTTCTTCCAAGGTAACTGACCACTGGTCCTTTTCTGTCAAGAGTGTGCCCTGGATGTGTTAACTATCTTGCTGTTGCACCATCTGAACCATTAACCATCTAATGTTCAGGTCCCTCTGCTTCTGCTGCTGCTTCAGTCTTTGTGCACTAAAGGGGTGAAGGCCCCTTTGCGACAGCTCAGTCCAGAACTGCTGATACCCTCATTTAGATTAGCACGCCAGTCAAGGCAAGGTTCCATGGTGTGGCTGCCAGTGTGCACTACCAGCTACTTGGAGCCATAAGTGAGAGTTGTGTAATAGTGGGAGACCAGTGTACAATGTCCACATCCAAGTTGATGCAGATGTGCAGCTGACAATGTACAAAGGGACTACTCTTAACACTAACTACACCCAACACCACTCAAATTACTATTAACTGAAAAATTAAAATTTTGTATGTCAGTAGCACCTACCTTCAACAAGGAAGATCTCAGCCTGCCTGGAACTGATGGGACACCATCTTTGCAGGTAGTCAACTAGGTCAACCCTCAGATGATACACAGATTCTGCAAGATGGAACATCACATGTAGACGATTTCAAATATGAGGGAGAAGCAGACTTCTATCAGTGCTCCTCATCTTTAGGAAAGAACAAAAGCTCCCTGGATCTCCTGATCCCTGCTTGTGCTGCACCTTTGATATGGCTGCAATGATGTTGATAGCCAGGCACTCTTTGCCAAATGGTCTCTCTTTTACTCCATTCATGGCCTCCTGTTTTCTCCAAATATCTTTTGCTTTTTGTGCCATCCCATCTAATGGATGCACATTGCACTCAAGTTCATTTAGTGTGTGGCTGAAGTTTCTGGCAAGATTGTCTGTCACACAGTGGTTCACTGCTACCCTATCAGTCATTGTGTTGGTAATGTTTCTCATAGCTGTCTTGAACCCCTTCTCCAGATTCTGGCATTGGAATGAACTGAAGGTGGTGGAAACATCCTGTATTGTCTCCATAATGTGAGTGGTGTAGTCTTTGTTGTGCCCAGCAGGAAGACTGGATACACCTGAAATTAAAGAAGTATTTCTATTCAACATGTATTGTAAAGTTATATTTTTTATGTCTGCTGACAGCCAGCATTTGAATAAAACTGAAACAATATTGAAGACTCGACACAACAGACTGAAGTACATTATAAGTTTGATATATTGTGTATCAAGAATTACATTTCTATCTGCCATAGATTGAGGTGGAGTTCCAGCACAGGGTTGATTATCTCCCCTGCCTGCACATCACTTATCACTCCCATTTCTCGTGCCATGAGCTTGACTGGTGAATTGCTTGGGAGAGACTGAAGTTCATTGCCTGTCATCTTCTTGATGTTAAAGTGCACAACATTTGCTGCCTGCTCCATAGGGACTTGGTGCTCCAAGCAGTAATAAATACACCATCTTGTTTTTGAAACATAAGTCTTCTTGTCATATTTATTTTGTACTTTCTCCTTCACCTCATGATCCAAATCAGTTAGCTTTATTTCTAAGTTTTTGTTCAGTTCTCTAACCCTTTGCAGTTCAACAGTAATATTGTTGGCTTGGGCTTTCAGTTTATTGACAGTTTTGCTGTCCTTGTGTTTCCAATAAGCAGCATTTCTTCTCTGTTGGCTTTTACATCAACACATACAGGTTTTCAGATCCTCATTGGCCTGTGATATATTATTATTATCTGGTTTTTTATTTGTTTTTCCTTGTTTGATTCAATTTATGCACAAGGATCACAATCCTAGCATCTTTTCATGCATTGACTTATCCTTTTGGGAACATATTTCTTCACTTTGTTTTTTAGTCTAATATTTTCTTCTTTAATCTTATTCAGTTGATCATTAGTGTCTGTTCTCTGAGCAATTTTTTTAGCTAAACTGATGTTAATATTTTGTAGTAGTGCACAGTTGGTGCATTAGCAAAGTCACGATTTCATTATTATATTGTTCAGATGACTCTGTACCTGGAGTCTTTGGATTCTTTGTAGATGGACCAACAAAGTCACTTTCCAAAAAGTCTTCAAAATGACTATGTGGGTCAATGCGAAAACGAGACTAAAATTAATGATGCATGTCTGCCCCATCAATGGAAGTTCTCCAGTCACAGATTTTCCCCCTGCTGAGACGTTACACAGTTTTGCTCGTGACCTCAGCCTTTGTAGCCATGCCTAATAATATGTAAATATGGGTTCCATTAAGTGTGTTAGGTAGTGGGATGTGTGAGGAAGCTTGAAACACATTCATTAAAGAGAGAGTTTAGACATTGATGAGAGAGCTTATTAATTCCAAGATGATACCTAGTATCCTCACACATAACAGCTTGATCCTTCATACATCTGCATATGAAACTTGCATGTCAGTAACCTTGAACTGTCTTCCACCTAAAAAGCATGTGTTCAATGTGAACTGTGCTTGTGCATGATGACATTATCATGTGACATAGGCCCTCCACCAATATGAAGGTGACCCAACCTCCTTGAGAATTATTGTCCCCTAAGCACTTGTAACAGGTGGCTGGTAGATGTAGTTGTTAGGTCAACTTCACACAAGTTAAAAATAAATTTATTTATTACCGGGTTGTGCAGTTGTGGGATAAGAATTGACTCAGAGACTGGTGACTGAAATATAATATAAAACTTTAGTTGAAAATCTTCAAATATTCATCAACATCGGCAGTACCAAAATTGTCATGAAATAATTCTATGTCAGAATGATTAAATACTTCATACTGTATGGTTAACTGTTCATTGATCAAGTCTCCTACAAGGTTAATCAACACTGACACTATAACAAGCAAATTATTAGGTTAACACAAGATATACATTCCGTCATAGTTATGTTTAGCAAATTCAGTTAAAACTTTTAAAATATCATTCAACAACTCTTATTACTTCTTCAATTAGTTTTGCTAAATCTACAATTGAAATTCCATTAACAGTATCCTATTCTCAGACATTATACACCATTTTGCAAGTACGTTATTAGACTATAGAGCGGCAGCAATCATTACTTGGAGAGAGTTTGTTCAGCAAATGTTTTCTGTATGCTGGAGTACAGCCATCCTTGATCAGAAAAGTGGGAAAGTTCTGGACCAAAAAATGACATTTTATCCACATTTTCTTGTGTTTATTTAATTTCTCAACAAGTGCTGTATAGCTATTTTGCAAGTAGTTCCTTCATTTAATTTGCACATTTGTGTCCTTCTACTAAACCAAAACCATAACTATATGTTAATTGATTGGTACTTTAATGTAAGTCTTCTCTCATATACTCCTACACTTGTTGCTTTCAATCAAAGATCTGCTATTTTTTTTTTATAAGTCCACTTCAGTTAGTCTGGTTTCTAATATCCTAAACATTTGTCATTTTTCTGTACCATGATTGCATCTGTTTAATGCTGATAAGAGAACTGTTGGTTTGGACTTTTCGTATTACATCTTGGAATATATTTCACTCAACTTGTGTATTTACTTTAATGTTTTCTTGTCATTATTTAGTTAACCATTATTTTTTAAGTTTCTATTATTTAGTTACACTATGTGTGTTCATCCTTGATCTGACATGTTTGTTTGGACTCATAAAAATTCAAATTTTTCAATCAATTAAGCACTTACCTTCCACTGCACCTCCATCATAGAATGAAGTTATTGTAAGTGCTTAGGAGGAGCTATTGCACAAGGAGGTTGTGTCCCTCCATTTGTGGAGGGCTATCATTGCATGATGTACAAGTGCAGTTCATGTTAAACATGCTATTTAGTTGGGAGTTAGCAAATCCCATAGGCAGGTACATGAGGGATCAAGCTATTCTGTATGAAGAGGTATGTATTGGAAATACATTTTCAGGTAAGGATAGTGGGAATAAATAAATTGATAGCCACGGAGGAGTTTGGAAATAGAAGATTTGTAGAATAAGTTAAGTAATAGTTTTAAGGATAAGTCTATCAGATTTAAAGTTAAACATAATAGACTGAAGGACAATCTTATTATTATTATTGTAATGTTAGGAGTATTAGAGTTTATAGCTCAAACTGAAATTGAAGGCTATGATATAATTGGTATTACTGAAACATATGGGTAGATTTGGGGAATACTGATAATAGAAATTGTCTTGAAGTTCTAGATTCTAAGCTATTTAATAGGAATAAATTGTTTTTAACCCTCTCACTACAGACAGGTTAGAGGGAGCATGTTAAGACATTTTAGAGAATTATTTTCAGAATTTAATTAAACTTTATTATGAAGTATGTCAGTAAAATTGGCATCAAAACATAGTTTATAGTTCAAATTTTAATATTATATATGTTTCAATTTCTTGATTTCAAAGAAACTATTACAAACAATATACTAAATATCTTTTTTTGTTTGTCACATTGCACATACTCTTGTCTTATTGGTTAATTTATATTTTATTATGCCTATCATACAAATCTGTAGTGGTTATCAAATTAGATATTCAGCTATTACAAACTATTACAAACAATATACTAAATATCTTTTTTTGTTTGTCACATTGCACATACTCTTGTCTTATTGGTTAATTTATATTTTATTATGCCTATCATACAAATCTGTAGTGGTTATCAAATTAGATATTCAGCTTTCAGACATTGAAAAGCTAGAATATAAAATGAGAATTTCCCACCTTTTTAATTTGCTGAGGTATCAATATATTTAGCAAAACTACCAGAGTAGCCCCACCCACATGTTTATAATCAGTAGAAAAAAACACATTCTAAGCTACTTAAATCTGACAGTTGTTTTTAACTAGTTTGAAGGGGAAAGTCAGGTTTTTACTGGAAATGTTAAAATCTGTTGACTGAATTGTTGTTTTGAACAGAAATGAGATTTTTTAAAACTCGTATATAGCTTAGTTAGAAAGCCAGATAAATTACAGTGATGTTATGTGCACTAGTATGGTAATTTGATAATTATTTGGTTTTCTATAACATATCTTTGAAATTGACAAGAATTAATTTGTCTTCCCCCTTCACTTGAGAGAATAAACTAGGCTTAGCAAGTACAACATGAGTGCAAGTCCGTTTTGTAGCTTTATAAATTGACATAGTGGTGATTGAGTCACTCAAGCCATTGAAGCAGTGCTCTGCTGCTAGTAATGAAGTTAATAAAATTTTTAATGTGTAATTAGTCATTCATTATGAGTCAGAAGAGGTAATTATCTTTATACAAATCATTATATACACTTCATTTGGAAAACTGTATGCAGTTTTGTTCTCCTTGTCTAAAAACAAGATGCTGAATAATTTGAAATGGTTCAGAGAAAAACAATCAGTATGATTCCTGGGATGAAAGTTATTTTGTAGGTTAGATTAAAATCTCAACTTATTTTTTGGTAGGAGAGGTAGTTCTTTTATTCACCTTCCGTTATTGAGTAATGTGTGTGTAAGATACTAATTTTATTCTTATTGATAAATATAAGTGGTCTTTTTTTTCCCCCTTTGACAAACACTCCAGTATTAACCACAGCTATATATAACCTAACAGGTGGTGATCTACTTCACAGTAAATGTCACTATTTCCATGTAACTTTACATTCAGATCTTGGAACCAGCAAGATATTAAATGTTCAAACATTGCATATTATATAAAAATATTCCAGTATTTTTGTTTCTTCAATATTCAAAATACATTTTTTAATAGGATATGTATTTTTTTCACCTCAAAATGATCTTTAAAGTTTTTCTATGTGACTGTGCAAGTGTCCTAAGCTGTGCATAACATGATATAATAGTACCATTTAGTTAAGGTTTGACTTGTATATATTCTCTTGTTGCCCTTCTTTTTTAGATGCAGTTGCTCTTATATTTGTATTAAATAATTGATCTGTACTACTTCTGAACTGTCATAGAAAACATAAGCATACATGTATAATATTTTTATGGACCCTATAGATTTTCAATGAATTCATATATGTATCAACAGTAATACAGAGGAAACCATAGTGAACTTTTACAATTTAAAAAATGGAGTTATGTGATTAAAAAAAAAGATGGTGTATTAAACAATGAATTGGAGATGCACTGTATTAATGGTGTGCTCTATATGTAATTTAGTTGGATTTACCAAAGGATTACTGTAATGTACTTATTTTTTGGATAAGCCTGATAAGGTATGATAAAGTGTTTTTCAGCTAAATGAAGCTTTTGTATTGGAACTGCATGACAGAAAATGTTATATTTACATTTAACTGATGGCATATTTTGTATTTATGCATTAAGTTTTTTTGGAACATACCATAAGTATTAATACATAAAAGTATAGTACCATAATGAGCATATTTTGTCAATGTGTTAAATCTTAAATTATGAAATAGAAGCAAATCAAATAATTTCATTATTCATTGAATTAGTTTACTTTTATGTATTGTTTATGGTCTCTGTTTTGATATTTTAGATTTAGTAGTTTCTACCTAACTATGTATACTGTGGTACTAGTGAATATAAATCACCTGTGAATGTGATACACTGTTGTATGTCTTATAATGGGTTAAATTATATATACATTTGTTCCATAATGTTCTCATTTCTAACTGAATTATTGAGCTAATATTAAAGGAAAATTAAATGTTATGTAGATTAGAAAATAAACCTAATAATGTGACTTGGAATATTTTTGTATAGCATACTGCAGAATGTGTGCACTGTGTTTGTATCAGTCAAAATCAAATGCTTTTAACACAAGATACATAGTAGCAGTGGTAGTTTGTAGTCCTTGATAAAAGTGTATAATTTTGATCTTTTTATGCAACATTAATTTAGGAAACTATTTGTATGTATTTGTAGTGCATATATTAAAATACTTAGACATGTTCTGGCTGACATTACTTCATATTTCAACTGCACTGGTCATTAAGTTTCCAAAGTTAGTATCTTAGTCATTTATTATTATTATAATATGATGTTAAACTGAATACTTCACATTTCTCTTTACCAAGAACAAAAAATACAAAATACATAATTATAAAATACAAACAATTAAAGAAAACGAAAGCATCTGCTTTATATTAATGTGAGATCATCATAAATGTTTAATATTTATTTGTTCAGTGTTTAAACCACAGAAAATGGTGAGTGAATACTTTGTTAGGACAACCTCTTAATATTAAGAAAAACTAAATTTCGGTTAGTGTTATTAGTTTCATGAATCTTTTAATGGGAATGCTAGTAGCTATTTTGGTACATTTGTATATTCTACCTACCATACTACCTGTTTTCTCACTTAATCTTCTGATGTAATCAGTGCTATTTTGATGAACGCTTTAATATTGTTACGTCTCTGTTCGTTAGTTAATTTTCCGTAAATTCGTTCCGACGAAACTTTAGCGACACAAGTCCTTTCTCAAATAAAACTGGTTCATTCTTTCCAAATACAACTTTACGATACACTTAATTTCAACATTCGCTCTATAACAAACGCTATAACTCACGTCCAACAATATTTTATCCGCATACATTCAATTACTCATTACCTGTTGTCTCGTCACGTTGTGAACATCTTATATATTGTTATGTCTCCGTTTGTTAATTGATTTTTTTTCCGTAACTTCGTTTC